AACAATTCGGCCAAACTTTTGTGTATGATCCTGCAAAACATATATAACAAGACATCGATAAAAAAATCGAACATAGCAGGGAAAAATTAACTTCGTCTTAATAAAGTACCTTATTTGTAAACTTCGTAGTCACACCAAACACGATTGGTATTATTCTGGAAATCCCCCCCCCCCTCGGTAGGATAGCGGTAAGTCTAAAGACTTACAACGCTAAAATCCAGGGTTCGATTCTTCACGTGGACGCAGCAGATAGCCGAATGTGGCTTTGCTAAAACATTAAATATTCTGAAAAGCTTTCATCCAATGAACTAGTATCTCTATTTTGATAGTACTATAATGGTGAAAGTTATCATTTAGCTTTATTAAGGAAAATATTGTTCTTTGTAACCACTTTACATTTTTTGTTAACATCATCTAAAGTTATAATTGGCAAGATTCAGGAATTTTTTTTCATAATTCAGTGTTAATCTATTGTTAGTATAAGCGCTGTATATATACACGTGCATGTGTTTAATTTTATAAGATGTTAAATGCGCTACATTCTCCCCACGCTTCGTCACTTACGATGTCTACAGCAATTAATTCTTATTCTACTTCAATGTTATTTGATATACAAGCTCACTTCTCAGCCTATTATTCATTTCTACTCGACACAAAATTTAGAATTCTCATCCTAATTCTAATTTCTGTTTTCGTGCAAGTCTTAAATGTCACTTATAGTTTACAACCAAGTTTTATGTCAGCTGTTACAAAATAATAATATCAAATTATCTAAAGGGCAAAAATCAAACAACGATTTATACCCGTATACAGCATGTCAAATTCTACTGCCTTTAAAATTTGTTGAAGTAGCACGGATACAATGAACACGAGATTTATCACGTCAGTTGGAAGTACCAACTTCTCTGTCACTGATGTAAGGCAACAATAATTTTTGTGAGATGTGTTACTGCGATCTATTACAATTTCTTTGGCGATCCACCAATTGTCTCATTTGATTTCTATTTGGAGCTGAAGGATCTAATCTCAACTAGAAATTATTCCAGTGACGTTAAGCTAAAGAAAAAAACAACAATAAAAACTGAAAACGAAAGTCCCTTGAGACTTTTGATAAATTCCACTCCAACGGAGCGTATTTTTTAACCTTATTCGTTAAAGTTTTCTTAGCTCTCTATAATTAGACTAGATAATACTTCTATTTCTGTCCCCCAGTGGCACAGAGGTATGTCTGCTAGAAACCGGGTTTCGATACTCGTGGTGGACAGAGCCCATTGTGTAGCTTTGTGCTTAACTACAAACTTTTACTTCTCATAGAAAGAGTGTTTCTCTGGCATGGTTATGCTAGAGGTTTTTGTGGTAATCTAGTATTTTTAGGACTAGCTTTCCCATATATTTCTTTCCTTCTCTTGCAGATTCCACAATTTCTTTTCACACTTTTTTTTTTTACATTTTTATTCGTTTAATAATAAACCATGAAATATTAAAGAAAGGGTAGTAATCAAATGGCTAAGCTTCTGAACGCCTATATCAATTCTAATGACAAAACCTTTTTGATTTCATTATCATCAACCTTTATCTCCCTGCACTTTTGTGCTAGTATGATCAAGCATTTTTTGTTAAACTGAGATAGTGTTTAAATCTGAAAAATAATATATTTTGGGAGAATAAAACAATGAAACAAAAATTTATATTTTGCACATTTTAAGTAACTGTAGATATATCTGAATATATTGTAAATTTTTCGAATTGTTAAAAATAGGTCGTTTCGTAGTTAAAACTCAACAGCTTTTTTGTATATATTTTTGTCTTTCAATATGTGCTGACTAAGGCATTAAAAGTGAAATTCTATAAACATTTGAATATAACTGTCAGTTAATTTTGTTGCTCTTTTAGTGCCACTACAATATATCTATTTTATTTTCTAAAATAAATAAATATTTATTATTTCTTAAGGCAAGTATTGTAAACGAAAACAACTTTTTAGGCTATTTTTGGCATTCATTTTTAATTCCCTATTTCTTTAACTTTTTTTTTTTGGTAATTCTTATAACAGTTATTTATTCAAAAGAGCTGTGATATACTTAGATAGCAGTGACTTACACTTGAAACGATTACCTATACAAATAATTGCGAATCTTTATATAAATTCTGAGTATCTGAGCTTCTTAATTTGTTTATTTTTTAGGCAGGACTACAACCCAGATGCCAGCATTGTTAGGCAAGTCAGTAATTTTCGCAAACAAGCCGCTATGGCTGCAGGGAGTAGTTATCGATTTCTAAGAGATGATTTTGATTCCGTCTCTACGATTCTCCGGTGTAGGTGAGTCAAGTTTCATCCATGTTTCCAGAACAGGTGAGAAGTTAGATTTGATCCAAAAACTTCTGTAGAGGTGAGTAAATTCATGTTGTACACATTATTCCTCACTGGAAGTAAGCTACATTAAATTCAAGATTTTAATCTTCAAGAAAGTCAAGTTTCTTCTTTGATTCTTTAATTGAAATAAGTGAGTCAACATTTCTTTCAGAATCTACCCAAAAATATCCGAGTAAAGACAGGTTTTATCCATTAACATGATACTATAATGAAACCCAGAGAGGTCAGATTTGATCCATGGTTGTATGATGAGCTGAGTGAAGTCTCTCACGATTATCTATTTTATTTACTTATTTTTAGTACGGTTCTCTAATGAAGTTAAAATACTATATAGGGTTTATCTACCATTGTCTTGGAGATGATAAAAGCTCTTTTTTTCTTTTTTGTTTATATGTGTAGCACAAAGCTGCACAACGGGATATCTGTGTTGTGTCCTGTGGAAATCGAACACGGAATTTTTTTCTGAGACTTTTAATTGAAGTCAAATTTCGTTTATGGTATTCAATGGGAATTAATTTTTCACGATTCTTTAATGGGATTTAGTGAAACATATTTATTTCATGATTTTATAATAAAATTGAGTAAAATCAAGTTTTCCACGATTTCCCAATTGGTTAATTGAAAATATATTTCATTCATGGTTCTTTACTTGAAGCAGATGCTATTTTTTTCATAGCTCTCAAACTTTAAGTAAGTGAGGTCAAGTGTCTTCAAGAATTATCCAGAATATTTAACTGGAGTCAGGTTTTGTTCGCAAATGTCTAATGAAACTGGATGAAATTTCCCATGATTCTCCTTTCCAAATGGGTTAGTTTTTTTATTTTTGTTTAGATCTTCACGTAATAAAAATAATATTTTTGTGATCCTTTAATGGAATTTACTGTAACCAGGTTTCATCCACAGTCCACCATTTGATATTACATCCAATTTTTGTCTAAAATGAGTTAGTTTTTTATGCATAATTCCATCCACAATACTCAATTTGGTTATATTTACAGTTTTTACTTTTAATGAAAAATGTCATATTTTCATCTGTGATTTTTCATTAAAAGTAAGTTAGATTTTTATATTCATATTTTTTTTATTTGTCTGTTTGTTTTATTGCAGCTCATTTAAGTCTAGTTTTACCAAGCTGTCTTTATTAGAGTTTATTAGTACTAAGCTATGTGAATGCAGACTTTTTCCGACTGTCCTGAAATAAGAGATAAATCTGGAAAGTTAATTTGAGTATTACATGCATTTTGCTCAACAGACATTTTTATATATTCAGATTACAATTTATTATATTGTATGAGCGTGAAAATAAAACTATAGGCTTCATGATATATTTTAAGTAGACAGTTGCAAGTAAGTACTCTTAGTTCAACGATATCGGTGTTATCCAATAATAGCGAAGAACCTGAAGCTAGATATCAGCCAGAAACAGTTGAAGCAACAGTGACTGTTTTCTTTGTGAATAATTGTTGTTGTTTCTGTTATTATTGTTCCATATCAATGATCCATGACGGTTTGAGGGTTTATTATTATATGTGCTACCATTATTACTATGTTTTCCTTCTTTTATGGTTATGAAATATTAAAGTACAAGCCGTTCCATTAAATTTACGAGCAATATGAGAAAGTTATCGCGCTTATCCAAATCTTCCACAACTCACGAAGAGCGTTTAGCAAATATATAAATTTATTCAATAACAAATTACTGCGTTTCGAATGAGAGACCCTTTCCGATAATATCGTATGTATTTTGTACGAAATATTTACATATAATTAATTTTTAACAGGTTATCATTTTCAATTAGAAATACTAGACAATACTTGGCTGTAACTTTCTAAATGATTACATCCAGGATTATTAAAATGTATTTAGAGTTTAGAGCTCATGTCTTCGGTATCATTGGCAATTTTAGTATTAATTGAAACAAAATCTCCAAAGAACATGAAATTATTACGGGCAAATTATAGGACAAGACTTGATTTGGATATTTTGGTAGTATATACTTCTAATGAGAAAATATTAAACTTGATATCAAGATTAACTATATCAAAGCGGAATAAGGTAGAATTTAAGCACAGATGTAAACTATCTTCTAAGTTTAAATAATCAAAATTTACATAATTTTTGTTTCTATATCTGCATAAAGTGTCATTATGAGATTTCCATTTAGACTTTATTCGTTTTACAGCGGAATTATTTATTTAGCAAGCCCGCTTTCTGGCTCATCGGTAAGCATAATGGCTTAGAATTCTAAAATTCGGAGTTAAAACTCTGCAATGAGTATTGTGCAGATAACTCATTAAATAGCGTTTTGCTGAAAAAGCAGATATTTTACCAAATTAAAGTATTTCTTTTTAGACAAAGAGGGAACGCTATTTTCCATTAGAAAGTGCAGATTTCTTAGAAATGAACTTTAAATATTCTAATTACATTCGTATAGAATTTTTATATTAAACTTATAATTTGGGAAAAAGTAGTTAAATAACCTACATAAACCCTGTCAATTAATAATGTCGGTAATGTGGTTAGAACTATACATAATTTTTAACTTAAATATTATTTAAAATTTTTTTGTTCATATTTGTAAATTCTCAGGTAAAGATGGCGCTCGTGTACATGCGATAGATTGGATTACGTGTTGTGGTTAGAATAAGATTTTATATGCAATTTACATAAAACAAAATAGCTGTAAAGCTTGTATACTCATATTTCGATATTCATATGACACCTAAAATGTTTACTGTTTCGATTGAGATTTTGTAACTTTTTATAATTTATGTAAAATGTCAATGTTGGAGAGTTATCAAATCGGGAAACAGAACGAGGTAAATGGGGAGTTCGAAGCAGAAAACGAAGACTCTGTCTCAGACATGTCAGATGAGACAGATGTCAGTGATTCCTCGTTCTCAAGTAATTTATCAAGTGATGATGAGTAAGTTTTCAAAACGGTCTCTGTATTATCAATATCACTTTGAATGCGCAAGTATGAAATTATAAAGAACAGTTAATTAATATACTGTAATGTGTAATATATATAATAAGCATAAATTATTACTGGTTTGCCTACCTGAACAATTTACAGTCAGAAATATATTCTTTCTGTTCTAAAATCTAAGGATAAATTCCTGTGTACTAGTACTACTAGTGAGTTATACTACTATTTTTTTTTTTTTTGGCGTTGTAGGAGTTTTACAAATTAGACTGCCTTTGGTGTATTATCAATAAGAATAAATGTGTATGTGAATATATACATTTATTCTAATAATGCTTGGAGACGGATTGAATGGGTAATAAAGATAAACTTTAATATAAGTTTAACATAACAGCAAATATACAATGTTTCGACAAGGTTTTGTCATCATCAGGTCAAAACATTGTACATTTGCTGTTATGTTAAACTTGTATTAAAGTTTTCTTCATTACCTATTTAAGCTGTCTCAAAGTGGGTTCCACATTATAGAATTTGAATACATTTATTCTGTATTTAGATACAATACATAGACAACTGGGGTTATTTAGTCTGCGAGTATGAAAGCTGTTCATGCACAATGCACACCCACCCTCAAGAAACATGCAAGTAAAAATTAGATCCACCTTTTATTTTTCATGGAATCTTCGATTATTTACCTAAACTTCTGTAAAGTATTACTTAATTAGCCTTCAGCACTGATGGTAACTTATTCCATAACTTAATAATGCTGTTAGAAAAATAAAACTGTCTTGTAATGAGGCTACAGTTGTAGCCTAGTCACATTTTTCCAAATGTTAAACTTATTGCTCTCTCATTCCCTTCAACATTCAATATAAAATATAATCTTCTAAACTTCAATAAGATCACTCACCTCTTACCTGTCTTTTCTGAAGAGAAAATAAGTTATCTTAACCTCTCCTCATAAAATAACTGTGCTCTTCTTGGAATCATTTCAATATCCCTTTTTTGGACCCTTTTCAATAACTGAATAAACCAATATTCTTTTTTTAGATTAGGAGACTAAATTAAACACTATATTTCAAGTAAGACTTAACTACTGGTTTTTGCTTTTAGTGAGAGATAATTCTCTCTTTTTGCCTTAATAACTTTATTACTAGCAGAAGAGTATTGTCTTGATGACTTGAATACCTTTTCTATGATTATGTCAAAATCCTCTTTCTTCAGCCACTTCATTGAATAGATTCTCATCTATATTAAAACATATAATCCAAAATTATGATAACCCAAATGAATTATTGTGCATTTACTATCGTTAAAGATCATTTAACAACTATTTTTAAATTACCAGTTAATCCAAGTCATTCTGAAGTGCCTCAACATTCTCAACACAGCTAAAAAAATACCCTTGAATTTAATATCATCAGCAAATTTCACTACTTATTTCCATATTTTTATTAATACAAATGAGAAAAAACAAAGGCTTTAGTGCTGACTCCCATGGCACATCATTGATAATGATAACAAAAAGTTCAATCTGACTAGACTCTATTAAATAAGCTTTATGCTTTTTCGTACCCAGCCACCCTTCAGTTCAGTTAACTAGTCATTTCTCAACTCACATCAATGTGATTTTCTTAGCAAATCTGTCTTGTGGTGCCTTTTGAAAATTTAAGTACACCTAGTCCACATTCGGGTAATCCAGATATGTAACGCCTAAAAATATTAGCAGATTAATAAAGCAGGATTTTTATCTAGCAAATACATGTGTATCATATTTTACCATAATATTTAAGGATAAAAAAGGGACTGTTGGTCCATTGAGACTATCCTGTCCACTGAACTAAACTTTTAGAAAAAAACAAACTCAAAATCAATCCTTATCACTTAAATATTTATCAAGCCTTTCCTTAAACTTCCTTGAATTTACTGCATCTACCACATTTGAAAGTGACACATTCAGAAGGTTAACCACCCTGTTATAAAACTGCCTTAACTGAAGGTTAGCCCTACCCTGCCAAAATTTGTATCTGTGTCCTGTTGTTTCACTAATTCTCACCATTCAGTATAAAAAGAGATGAAACATTGACACTATCAGTTCCATTGACAATCGTATATACCTCAATAAGATTCCATCTTAAGTCTCTCCAAGAGAAAGTATTTCAGAAATCGTAATCTGTCCTCTTATGACAACTTTTCCATTCCAGGTATCATCCCTTCTTTGAACCCTTTCTACCAGTTGAATGTCCTTCTTAAGGTAAGAAGCCCAAGGCTGAACATAATACTCCAAATGAGGCCTAATCAATGACTTATACAGTGAAATTATAACATATTTAGACTTATGCTCAAACTTTATGTAAACACAATCTGAAATTCTAATTGCCCTACCACTAGTAATAGCACATTCCTTGGATGGCTTAAGATACTGATAAATGAAAATACCAAGATTTATTTTCTTCCATAATACTGTGAAGTATTTTCTCATCACATTTATGTGTATAATTTAAATTATGATAATCCACGTGTATTACCTTGCATTTATTATAACTAAAAGCCATTTATTCATTCATCTCACCAAACAATATAATCCTTTGGTAAACAGCAGCATCTTTCTCACAGCCAGCAAAAACCAAGCAATTTATTAACCGTTCTTTCATCTATGTCACTAATCTAAATAAACAAGAGCAAAGGTCTTAACCTTGAGCCCTGAGGTACCCAATTTGTGACATTAATCCAGGTTGACCTAACTCCTTTTACAATAAACAACCTCCTGCTTTCTTCCATCCAACCATTTTTTGATCCAATAAGCTAAGTTATCTTCCACAACTATAATTTTTTTCAACAAGCCTTTTATGTGGCACCTTGTCAAATGTTCTCTGAAAATCCAGATATACCAAATCCACAGCTTTACCTTTACATAATCAGTAACATCTTCAAAGAACATCAAATTATTAATAGGCAATTATTAATATCCAACAAATCCTGAACTTTATTAAATACATTTGCAAAACACCTTTTATCCAACTTTCAAATACTTTTCCTACCACCAATTAATAGGCCTATAATTTTCTGGGTAATCTTTATCTCCTCCCTTGAAAAGAGGAGTACTATCAGCTAACTTCCAATCTTCTGACACTTGTCTACTTTTCAAGTACTTGCAAAAAATAGTAACAAGTGACTCTCATATCCAATCAAAACCTTTGGGGGAATAATATCTCGTCCAGATGCCTTATCATTGTTTAAACTTTAAATTTTTTTAACAAGCTTATAATTAAGGTGACTATATTGTTCAATAATGTTTTCATCTAGCAACTGTTTAGGATGAGGAATATTGCTTGAAATTTCATTAGTAAAAACAGAAGAAAAAGTGGAATTCAGAAACGTATACTAATCTGTGCACCACAAAGAGCTATTACCTTGTGCCTCTAAATGTGAAAAGTTGTGTGCATGCCACAAGTCTTGGACAAAAGCTCCTACTTCTACATACATTAATCTGAACTGTGTCATACTCTGAAGTAATCATCATTACTGTAGTCCTCTAACAGAAAAGTGACACATCCAAAGGCTCATTCTTTCCTTAGCATGCCTTTGTTTAGGTGTGTTTTTTATTTGGATTTAATGGACTTTTTTCCCTAATTATTTTAAACTTTTGTTAATTGATTCCTGACCTCCTGCTTCTGTTACTCCAGCTGAGCCTGCCACATCTTTCAATAAGTTTTCTCAACGATGTTTCCATGCCTGGTTTTGCTTCTATTTCTTTCTTCCCAATGAATATTAGGTACTCTCAACTTAGTCCTTTGCTGCTTTGATTATACAGTTAAGTACCTTATGATTCCTCTTTCTCCAGTTGTTTAAAGCTTGATATCGGGTTATCTCGATGCAAGACCCATCATCACTTGAGTTTTTTCCTTCAGCTTAGGGATCTTCTCTTTTTTCTCTTTCTCAGTTCTTACTCTCTATCTACTCATTTTAATTTTTTATGTACTCAACTATTCGCTATCTGTTCATACTTCATCTCCTTTAAGCGGATTTACATCATGGCCCTGTCGGCTTTACTGACTTGTAAATATCTGTTTTTTACCTCGTTCTCAATTTTCTTATTCTGTTGTGTTCCAGTTAACTTGGTTTCATTGTTCTAGGATGTACTTTGTTAGGATGTATTACTTTCTGACATTTTCTTCTCTGAAGGACCCCTGTGTTGGATCTCTTCTTTGTTATGAGGTTTTTAAGAATGTTTCTTGTACTTTGGAATTTTAAGCTGATACAGTTCATCACCAGTCATTTTTACCCACTTTGTTTTCTTGCCTTTTTTTTGGACCAGAAGGCTCCACCAGGTTTCTCATTGTCTACAGTCTCGTGGGGTCATTTCCTTTCCTATTTCTAGTTCTTTTGTTGCTATCCAACATTCGAGGGTTGACTGTCACAAGTCTTGGAGGTGACTTGTTTCTTTTGGCCCTAGTTTAATGGGAGCTCAGCTCTCCCACTTTTTACACCTGTGGATTCCATTTGCCACAGACTATTTGGTTACTCAGGAGCTTTCTCAGGGGTTTTTTTCTTTGTCCTTCTACTCTCCATCCCACCTAATTAAAATGTCATGGAACAATTCCTTAACCACACACTGGGGTTTTATTCCATTAGTTTTATTATTCCCATGAAGGTAGGAGATGGGCAACCTGTCATAGCTCTGACCCACTTGAACAAACTTTGTTTGTTCCTCAGTTTCAGATGAACAGTTTTGATACCCTGAGATGAATAATCTTCCAGGATTTATATAACCAGTATCAATATTTCAGATTCTTTATCCAAATTCTGATTTGTCTGTCTGCCTTCTGGTTTATCCACAGTGGTCAAACATTCTATTCACAGCTCTTCCCTTCAAGTTGACTATAGCACTATATATTTTCAGTTAGGTTTAGTCAGTGTTTTCTCAGAAAGCATTTCTTTAGGTCTACTGTTCAACTACTCTTTGAACATTTGGCTACTTCTTGCCATATCCAGTATGGCAACCACTATTGTAACCTTCCCTCTCTTTATAGAGTCATTGAGTTAGATGGTTCAACTCTCCAGTTCAGTCTTGACCTCCTCTCAGTATTCACTTCACATGAGAATCTTACTCAATTTTTATGTTGGACAGACTTAGCCATCATCCCTATGTCTTTGAGACATGGATCTTCTGATAAAAAGGTTCTTGTGTCTTCTTATTTTCCTGCGCAAGAGGATTTCTCTCTTTTCTGGGACTCTCTCTTCTCTTGTTCCTCTCAGACATGCCCATATGCATCCCCTTCAGTGGATTTTTGCTAATCAGTATAATACACCTGGAAATCCAATATTTTCTCTCCACCTCTTATTGTTGTGGTGGCACACCTGTGATGAGCACAGTGAAGGTGACACATTTTGTAGCTTTATGCCTGATGACAAGTAAACCTACAAACAAAACCTGTCAGTCAATGTTTCTGTTTTGGTAGAGTGCAATTCTGTAAACCTAATCCATTTGTGGAGTATGGTTTCTATTGGAGCAATTTCTCTATATCTACATCCTTAAGATGTTAGCTGCTCAACAAACTTGATATCTTCTGTCTTGTATGTATGGTCTTTTTTTATCATGATTCATTGAAACACTTCTGTTGTTTCTTCCACTTGCTGATAGAGAAGCATTCACTCTTGAAACCTCTGTTTTCCTTGCCTTGGACTTTCTCTTTTGGGCCTATGACCATCATGTTCAGTTATCGGTATATCATGTCCTGGGAGCTTAGGCCCTGGTGGTGGATGACTATCTTGCCTAAACTGAATCCTTCTCACAAAGTGGTCTTTCCGTTCCCTTGTGTTTTCAGTGGATTTTCTCCTACTATAGGAATCTTATCATTGCTGCCTTTCTGACTCCTCAACACCTAGCTTAATCTTTGGGTCTCCAATCCCAGTCTCTACAATTCTGGCAGTGGAAGTTCTGTGCCTGGAGTGGTTCAATCTTTTTTTATACACTACTGATATATTTTCTTCTTACTTTCCTTGAATACCTAGCACACTATTTACCATAGAGGCAAGCAAATCTTCTTCCCTGACTATTTTTTCCTCTCCAAAAATTGGGCTGTTTGGTAGAGGGGTTGTTGGATGTTTTCTCCATTTAGCCTCCCTTCCCTGTAGGATAATGCCATCCCAGGTTGTCTTCTTTGTTTTGTATAAGCTGTTTATTGTTATCTCATTTGTACTGCCTCTTTTAAGGGCAGTTGTCAATGTCTTTTCCTGTCATAGGATTCCTCTTCCTCTAGTAACTTATCTCCTCCTGCTTTAACCAGTTGGGATTTACATCTTATACAGCTAGTTTATTCTTCTGTAAATTATGACACTTTTTATATTTTGCATGCCTCCCCCCTATCAAGTTTGTCATCTCAAGATGTTTTGTACAGAAAATGCAAGTTTGATTTCTTTGGGTCTGTTTAGTTTGACCTATCAAAATTATTTTGAAAGAAATTAATTTTTTTGTTATTAGAATAGTAATACAAAATTTCTCATGATTGGAAGAAAGAACTCTGAGATCACAATGAAGTTACAGTATTGTTATAAAAAATTGAATGAGTTTTAAAAAGGGCTGAATAGCTCAGTCTTTATCGACTTCAATTAATGTTCTGTGTGTGTTTTACTGCATAACTAAGTAACACCTATTTCAAGATTAGGTTGTAACAAAATGGTTTGAGTAAGAAAGTTGAATAAGTTACTACACATGGTAAATAACTTTAGAAATAAAGATTGTTGAAAATTGGATTACATTATAATAATACATTATCATAAACTAAACACTTAAATAAAGCAAATTGAATGGTAATACCTACTTTAAACTAGGATTATGAGATATTTGTAAGTTTTCATTATCCAAAAATGAAAAACTTCTCTACCTCACAGAATTTATAACTCAGCATCATGGAACAACAACTTCAGATTGGTTTGTACATATTTTGTAGATTGATTGATATAAGAGAAGATGGAATATTGTGTTACAGCTAGATTGATTTTAGTAAAGCTTGTGATACAGAACAGTTTAAATGAAAAGTCACAAAATAGTAATTTCAAGGTAGCCACAAATTACTATATTTATTATATTATTAAATTTTTAATTTCTAGTGAAGAAAAGAAAGAAAGTATGAATGGCAGAAGCTTAGCCTGTTCTTCAGTTTGCTACTCCCTTTGCATTATGCAGTGTAGTTTTGACAAATCACCACTCTTCAGTACTGGTTCAATGCTTGGTCTTCATTGAATTATATGTTTGTTTCTTTCAAGTTGATGAATAGACATGAGTGATATGTACAGACAAATAGTATGCATGTTTGGTACACAAAATGTTTATTTTTAATGCATTTTTTATGTAAAAAAAATGCATAATAACCCACATACACATTTTATCTGGAGTACTAAATAATAGTTCATTTAAGCCCCAAAGAAAGAAAATGTTTTTTGCTGCTGGAAACACTTTATTTATCTAGTAATTAATTCATGTCATTACTTGGATTTATTTTATTTAGAACATTAGTTTATTGAATGGCTTAAAGTTATTTCATATTTTTCACTTTGAAAAGTATAGTTTATAACTTTATACCTTTTTGCATTTTACTTTAATGTACTTAACAATGCTTGTAGATGTATAACTTGAGATTCAGATTACTGTTTGATTGGAAAGTTTTAAATTCATGCATTATTTATCTAGGCTCTTTGAAATTTGTGTACTGATGCAACAGATTTAAGTGAAAAATTCTGATGGAGTAATATCATATTTCTGCTTAAATGTGAAAAAAGAAGATATATATTTACTGTTCTAAAGTCTAAATACTTGTTCTTATATATATAAAACTGACCAGCATATTGAATTACAAATGTTTAGAAAGTCATGTAAGAATGAACTGTTATACTCTGTTAGTTTTGTATTGAAATGAACTGGTAAAAATGATTTAAATATAGAGTAGAAATATTAGCAGCATGTAAGAATTTCCCATAATGTGCAATGTTTGTGACTACCTTAATGGTTTGCAATGTGTCCACATATGCGCGTAATCATGTAATGAGATGTTTCGAAGTTTGATAAGAAACACATACAAAAATACCTAGGTAACAGGTATTTATATTATTATTATTTTTTTTTTTGCAGTGCCTATAAACCAAATTGGGTTGATAAAGTAAAAGAAAATGGGGAACTATTTTATATAGAACCTGTTGTTAACCAGGTTGCAGAAGAAGAGACTGTTGTGTGTTCTAAATCCCAAGATGACTTGCAAAATGGGGGTGAAGTGGAAGATAAGACAAAAATACCTGAAGAAGCAAAAAATGTTCAAGGAAAAAAGTTTAAAAAGTGGGTTCTGAGGCAGAAAGGAGAAAAGAAAGAAAGCATCATTCAAGGAATTTCATGTAATGTAAATGGAAATGCAAAAGAAGAATCTCAGCCGAAAGTGAAGTTCCAGAGTTCTCCAAATGGACAAATAAAAGAAGTATTTCTTGAAGTTGATCCAAAACGTCACAACTATGGACGGCGTGCAACACTTTGTGAAGCACTGTTTGGTATTATTCCTGGAAGTTTTAATCTAGATACAGAAGTAGGAGAAACTTCAAACCAAAATGATCTCAGAGTTATGATTCAGGGATTTACACCAGATGGGGAAGCAGTCCGAAATGGAAACATCAAAATCGGTAATTTTTTTCTCTCTCTTTATATTAGTTTTCTTTTAATACAGGACATTCCAAAAGCAATTTAAAATATACATGTGGCCAGCTGTTTATATATTTTGGAATAATATAAGCAATTATGATATACATGATATAATGAATAGTTCAGTTATTAAGGTTTGGTTAAGCTCTTTGATAGATCTGAAGTCATATTTTTCAAATAGAAAAAAAAAGAAAGGTTTCAGTAATGCAACCTAATGTGATTCTAGTTTATTCTAAAAATTAGCATAAATTTCTATCTTGTTTGATTATTTTACATAGAGCCAGAATTGAAATTTCTATGAGTTGAAAGATTTTGCTATAATTTATACTTGTAAATTTTGGGGGGTACTTGTTTGAGGAACTGCTATTACACTTTTTGGTTGAATTCCTACCCAGTGAGATAATTAACAAATAAAATATTTATGATATTTAAGAACTATTTTATTGTAATCTTCTTTTGGCTCCTTTCCTTATCAATGATAACTCAGTTGATAGAAATTTTGTTTGATTGAACAGAGTTTAAGTTAAAGTTAAAGATGTTTATTTTTTTTATGATTCTTTACAATATTCTTTTCTTGTATCAATGTGTAGTGATAGATACAGTGCCTTGTAAAAGTATTCACTCCTTACCAATAATGTCGCATTTTAATGAAATACAAATAATATAAACAGTTTTTTTAATTAACTTGTTTTTATTCAAAATTAATCAAATTTAACATTGGGAAGGAGGTTAAATGTTAGCAAAAGCTGCAGAGAAAATATATAAATTGAAATTTGCTGATTGCATAAAGTATTCAGTCCACCTACATCATTACTTGGTGGAAGCACCTTTGACAGCAATTACTGCTGTAAGTCTTTTTTTGGATAGGTCTCTACCAGCTTTGCACAATGGAATGGTGTAACTTTTGCCCATTCTTCCAAAATTGCTCCATTTCTGACAAGTTCATTGGAGATCACTGATGGACTACAATCTTCAAGTCTTGCCATAAATTTTCTTTTGGATTCAAGTCAGGACTTTGAGTGGGCCTCTCTAGGACATTCACTTTCTTCTTTTGAAACCACTCCAGTGTGGCTTTGGCCTTGTGCTTTTATTCATTGTCCTGCTGAAATATGAATTTTCAACCTAGTTTTAGATTCTTGGCTGACTCTAGCAGATTGTTCTCTAGGATTTGCTGTACTTTGCACCACCCATCTTCTCTTCAATCTTGACAAGCTTCCCAGTCCCTGCTGATGAGAAGCATCCCCATAACATGATGCTGCCACCGCCATGCTTGACTCTTTGAACTTATAACAAAAAGCTTAATTCTTGTCTTGTCTGACCACAAAACCTTCTGCCACATGTCTGCAGTATCATTTACATGCTTTGTTACAAACTCCATATGAGATTTAAGATGATTCTTTTTCAGTAATGGCTTCTTTCTTGCCACTCACCGATACAGGCCAGCTTTGTGTAGGGACCGGGATATTTTCAACGTATGAACACTGACTCCAATCTCAGACATGGAACTTTGCAAATATTTCAAAGTCACTGTTGGCTTCACAGTTGCATCCTTAACCAGGTTCTGCTTGCCCAGCTGCTTAGTTTGGATGGATGGCCTGATCTGTGTAAGAGTAGCTGGTATAAAGCACATTTCACTTCTTAATAATGGACTTCACCGTACTCAAAGGGATAATCAGCAACTTTGAAATTTTCTTGTAACTTTCTTCTGATCTGTGCTTCTCTACGACTTTATCCCTGACTTGTTTGGAAAGCACCTTGGTCTTCATGGTTGGTTTGTTGTATCACTGTGTGAGTTATTGCTTGAACAGATTCATTTACTCTGAAGTCAAGTTAAACCACTTTGATTACATACAGACAGAGATCATTACACTAATTTTGTTACCTTTCAAACTAATCTTTTGCACCTGAACTTATTTAGGGTTGACATAGAAAAGGAGTTGAATACTTATGCAGTTGAGAATATTCTAATTTTCTCTGAAAATCTAACATACTTATGTAATATCAGTGTTTTTTAGCTTTCTCAGTTTGGAGTAGATTGAGTAGATTCTAAATATAAAGTCTCATTTGATGTTATATGTACCCTAACTGCTAGGTAAATGTTTAGTGAAAAAAATGTGTATATCCAGAAAATTATGGTAAGATATTTTTGGTATAGGAGCAGTATTTATTTTTCTGCCTTGAATAGCTTTGTTTTAGTTGTGTTTTTAATCTGTTTATTTTTCAATATATTTCAAATAACATAATTTATATATATTATATATATTTGTGAGTATTACTGATGCAAGTGTAGTGAGGCTTTCATATTTTCAGTGACTTAAATATTCCTAAAGGTAAACTAAGATTTGTATCCTATACTGTATTGTATCTGTTTGAATTTGTGGGATAGCTTACATTTACAATATAATTAATGCTCTTAAATACCAGTTTACTTTATTTTTTTTAAACCAAATTGAAGCTTTGTTTGCATATTTGTTTACAAATAATTGAAGTGTTGTAAAACTGTGTGTGTGTGTGTATACATACATATATATATATATATATATATATGTATATATATATTATTTAGGCAAACAAAAAAATAAAAAGAGAATACATTAAAAGGAAGGATAGTGCAAAATTTACACATCATATTCCAACTTTAGATGAAATATAGTTAAATATGATTTTATGAAAAAAAAAATGAAAATAAAAAAATATGAAAAAAAAATCACAGCCACAATACAAACATCCAACACCAGGGCACAAATCATAAGGTGAGTCATTATGTAATATGCCCTGTTGTTTTAAGGTACTGGCAGAAGTAAGACTCAAATTATGTTGGGGTATACCATCTGTCCAGTTTAACCTTAACTTTGCTGGTCTTACATACTTGAGAGGAAAAAAAGAAGGAGCAGATGTATGGGTGCTCTAGTCCACAAAATTCCACATCTTTACCACCTTTCACTGTCTACAGCCAGATGTGGGAAGGTGGTTGCTCATATATAATAAAAAAAGAAATAATAGAATACAAGCTCCCATCCTCCATCCTTTTCATGCTTCTTTCTGGACCTTCAACATTTCTAAAGAGATCCACACAGTGGCAGGTCTTATGTAGGGAAGATGATACAGCTTCATTGATCTACCATAATAGGGTATAAATGTCCAATAAGTAATTCCAATTATTTCCTTAACAATAATTTTAGAAATTATTTTTTATTGTGTATATTATAATTTTGTTTAAATCACTATTTTCAAATGTATATAAATACATTTTGTATTTATTATAGGATAATTTAAAATATTTAATTAAAGTTTTCTCATCACATCCACTAAAAATCAGTTTGTGTAGTAATATATAAATTCTACGATACCTGAGAAGCTGTGAATGTATAATACTCTGTAAAACATTTGGTGGTACATTACTGTTTTGAGAGGGAAGTCCAAAAATTTGAAGTGTGAAATCATTTCTTTTGTCATAAATATTAATATAACCATAACTATTAATTATCTTAATATGCAAATCTAAATAATGTACTTCAGTATTTGATAGAGAAGTGTTCTCAATCCGTAGAACTGTAGGATAAATATGATTACTTATTCCGGGATTATTAATACTAATCAAATTGTCAATATATCTGTATGTTTGGGAAAATTATTTATAAATTTATTTTCGTAATAATAAATATGTGAATTAACAACACAGCTTGAATAATTAGAACCCATTAGTATACCTATTATTTGTTTATAAATGTACTTTTCGAAATAAATATAATTATTATATATGCAAAAATTTAATATGCTTTTGGTAGATCTATAAGTTGATCAATTAACGAATTTATCACTATTACCAAATCATTAAGTGGTTAAATGTTTGCTAATTGTGTTTTATTTAAATTTTCTAGAGTTTTTAAGACAGGTTCTTTATTTTTAATCATCCAGAAATCATGTCTATTATTTGCATTTTGTTGTAATTTAAGAAATAACTGATTTGATAATTTGTTTAATAAAACTGCAGGTTGTTTCCGTATAGTGTTTACCGAACTAGAAATAAAAATTTTTATGGGAGAGTTATGTGATTTAGGTATCACATATAGATTCGGTAATTCTGAATATGGATTTGTTTTGACATCAAATTTTTTATAACTTTCAACAAGCTGTTAATAATATCTTCTTTAGACATATTTTGTAATTTAAAAGTTTGTGTAGTATGTATCTCATTAGTTATAATTTGTGCATAAAAATATTTACAGATAATGCCAAAATTACAGTTGGCTTTATTGATAGGCACAATAATATATTTCTACTGTATTTTATGGATTCTGGCTTTAAATTGAAAAAATGTTAAATCTATTGGAGATTTAGTTAAATTAATAAAAGCTAATTTATCTTTAATTCTATTAATATTATAATATCTCCATTCTAAAACAATTTTGGAGGATAATGTGTAGAATAATTAAGTTTCAAAATATAATCATCTGCATTTTTCTTTATAGAATTCAAAATGTCAACATATTTACATTTTGTAGCTATTCTGTATTTGGCACATTTATTTATGATTTTTTTAAAGAATCATCCTTTATTATATCCAAGTTTCCAGTAACAATATTCGTATGAAAAGAATCTGCCAAAGAATTTGAGTAGCACTCATATGGTAAATTCTGCACATTATTTATATTGATTATTTAAAAAGTTTTTGCAATTATAAACAAGTGGTCCTATTGGAATTTCATTTTGAAGGAAAAATATTTTGTATTACAGAGTCATGCAAAATTTTAGTAATTTGTAAATCATTAACAATTTTATGTTTGAAATTAATTTATGTACATGATGATTTTATTATTGGGAATTATATAATTATATCATTTAAATTATTTACCTTAAGCCTAAGTTTTATAATCTCAGAAACTGTTAAGCATGATTATTTTGAATATTAAATGTCATTACAGTTTTTG